AGGAGGATGAGAAGGAATGAGAGAGGTCGCGATTCACAGATAGCAATGGCTTTGAACAGCCACTGTCAAGCCACGAGCCTTCCCTTTTATTTTCAAATTTGAAAAATAATAATATCCCTTTCACTTTTTGTACAATATTAGGGCGATCATATTTTTTCTTTTTTTCTCTTTTAAGAAAAGTGTTCAACATTAGAAAACTTATGCAAGACAGAAATTGATTATTAAAGATATCAAATTGAATTAAATCATACCTACATCGATGAAAGAGGTTCAATCACAGCTAAATAAATTGTCACATAGTTTGTTTATTACGTTCTACTCATATATCGTATAGTAGAATGTCAATATGTGAAATGGTAGATATGATATAGTGTTATCTTTGGACGCTAAGTACACATTAATATTGTTGATTATTAATCAATACATTGCATACCTGAAAGTTTGTTTCATCGTTCTGGAATTTTTTTGGACATTGATGTACAACTTTCATTTTCTGTAACTTGAGAAGAACGTAATGATCATATAACTTTCAATTTTTGTAACTCGGAAAAAATATAAGCACTTTTGAGCACTATCAGAAGAAACGGATGCTTAAAAAGTAATTAAATAATATTTCTTCTTATAGCAATTTTCTATGTTGACAAGTTTTTTTTAACTGTTATTAGATTAACGATCGATATAACAAATAAGGGAAAAACTATCATTTTGTAACTATTTTTTAGCAGTTAAACTCGAAATGCGTATCACAAAGTGATTTTATGATTGTTAGAGTTTAATGTCAGTCTTAACTAAGATTGCTTTAAGTAATTATGCATTTAACCTTTAAACCACTATATTGACCGCTCACAGACCACTATTGAAACGTTACTTATCAACCATTTTCTTATTTGTCACCATTTAAATATATTTTATTTTTATTGTATACGAGATTTTCTTGTTAATCCTCACATTAAAACATAGTTTTCTTTTTCCCCATCACAAATATTCAGAAAACATACATTTTTATTATAGATAACTTATAAGATAAGCGAGAGCATAATAGCGGTCTGTCAGACCGACACTGTGGTTAGTGTGATTTTTTTGGGCGTGGTGATTTAAAGGTTAACATAAATATCGATACAAATTTAATATGAAAAAAAGCTATTTTATCAGCTTATCATTGGAAAGTGATTAACGCCAAAAATATTTTGGTTAAGGAAGAATCGATTTGAAATTCCTTCGGTGATATGAAAATTACAGCGATAACGTCGATTACTATCAGTTAAAGCCGATTATCAATTGGCGTTAACGTGCTATACGAACGCGAACGTGTCGATCCCATTGCTAGATACGTGGCGCGAGAGGAGTGCCGCGGGGGTGGGGGTCCTCCCGCGTGAGGGGGGGAGAGGCGTCGACGGGTGAGGGGTCCGCATTCCACAGACAATGTCACGTTTTTTAATCCCCGTTTTACTTTATTTGCGCCGCCTTCAGCTGCGAGGAAGGCCCAAACAGTTAAAGTTCGACTTTTGTCCCTATTATACAGAGCGCCTGATTTTGTGACGTGGAGAAGCGCAGACGGACCAAGGACGACGTATCCTTGCTACAAGAAACGACGACGGCGACGAGGGAGGGAGCACCGTGAAAAGAAGTTGGAGGATCCACGGGGCAGTTTTGAGGGTGCGCGCGAGTTTCGCGCGAGGGTGGCACGCGAGGAGAGGAGAATAGAGGAAAAAGGGGAGGAAGTTCGAAACGGGCTGAACGAACGAAAGAAGGAAGATATGTCCGCCGTCGAGAGTGCCTTGGACGTCCTTTCCAGAGCAGCGACAATGATGCAAGGTCAGTTCATACTCCTTTTGAAATTTTATTTTGCAATTTATTTTCGCGGACTCTAACTCCCTGCGTGGAATGATAATATACAACGTTCCAAGACAGCACGGTACAAGATAATTACACGTTAAAAGACAACCTTGTCCTCTTTTTAAACTTTGCAGAACCTAATTTTTGTCTTGTCATTATATAAGTACAAAAAAATGTAGTTTCTTCCCGTCTCTCTTCATCAAGTTTTGCCGGGTATCGTGGAATTGTTGGTGGTTTCGTTAGCAATAATAAATATAATAATATACGTTACGTCATCCTTCCTCGTCATTCTTAAGAAGGAACTCGGAGATTTTATTATCTCCGTGATGACTGCCTTAAAAAACGAAATGTACGATCGTAAGAAAAAAATGTGCCAAGTATTTCGAACTCGTAGTAGGCAGTAGTAGAAACAAAGGCGCCTTCAGAACGAACTTATATAGTCGGACATTCTATTGTCATTCACGGAAATTCTTTCGTGCCTTTCTCGTGCCCCATTTATATCTTTTTAATTTTTCTTCGAGTCACTTTCTCTCGAGGAAGTACTGCATTTCACCCGCCATACCGTCTATTTCTCATTCAGAAAATATCAATGCCTGATCAACGGGAATGCGAAATATAAAGACACAACTATATAGACAATGGAACGTAATGCGATCAAATTCGCGCGGAATGCACGGACTTCAGAAACGACGACAAAACTACTCGACATGCCGCCGGCATTCCACGCATAATTTGTTCAATAGTCATTCTATATTTCACGCGCGTGCACGACGACATTAACGAAGGCTCGTTCGTATGCAAGCTGGGGCAGCGAATCGCTGTGGGTATTATTATCGCGGGCGCCTGTTATAATGCAACATGCTATTACCTGACATAAATTCGCGATCGTAACATACTGTCACAATCCGTGCAATCGTTTTTACATGGAATCGATCGCGCGCGATTGCGGGTGAGCAATCGCATTCTTCGCTTTGTATTCAGCTATATCCGTCTTACGAAATCCTCTTTATAGAACGATTTAAATTAACGTGAACGCTAACATTAGAAGAGCAAAATTAGGAGGGTGAATGTATTTTAGTTATAATAAAACATTTATAATAAGAAATATAAAATATTTCGATTGGTATATATATAATTTTTTTCTGCTTATTTATTTCAATTTGTAAGAATCGATTGTCTTTGATTAAAAGAATATTAATCCGATTGGACTAATGGATTTAAAATACTCGTAAGACGATCTTTATTCGTCATAAGGTTACTGAAACCTAGTCTACTTAAGTGAACATCACTTCGGAGTGTCACAACGTGTTCCGCATAGTCGCCGTTTATAGTTCCGATTCCACGTACCGCGGATTAAGTACACGTGTTCAGCGTCGACGCGAGTCGCGCGCGAATGCATTTGCTGATCTCGAATTTTTATTCTTCGACGAAGCAAACGCGTCTTCCGCTTACACCGATACATTTTGTCAGGAAGTTTAGACAGAAATGTGCCATGACATGCTTAACCCTCGATCTGCATACGTTTTACTGCTCGCGTATTCTGTTTCTCGAATAATGAATGCGAAACAATGCAAATTAGATAACTCTAATAAATCATGCGCATGAACGAACGAACGAATTAATTTAATTAGCATTACATTGCAAATTATATCTATTGTTAGTATAAAACGCAAGATTTAATACAAATTTAAAAATATAAATCAGTATATAATTTAATTTTAGCATTACATCGCAAATTATATTTAGTATAAAATCCAAGATTTAATACAAATGCAAAAATATAAATCAGTATATAAATGATAACACCGCAAGATAAATATAAATAAGATTTAGAGACATTATTAACGGCTTTTATTAAATTTTATTGTTCCTTATTTTTACTTGTCAATTTTGAAAATCTTATGTATTCCGCCAGAATTTTATTCGATGAATTTCTGCGCAATAAAATAATCGAAATTGCAGGGGAAATTTATATACAAGAATAGCGCTTCTTCCTTTCATCTCTCTTCCTCTTTTTTTTTGCGTTCGAGTCAATGGAACGATATAACATATATGGTAGGTACATGGATATATCGAAAGGGTTAAAATAAACGCATGCTATCAACCGCTCGACGTATTCGCGCGTGCATCGCATCGATGCGCCGGTTGTGCATATATACTGGGTCGTGCAGAATTATCGCATGTCCTTCGAGTCAAGTTAATTTAGCTCTAAATCTAATCTATAATCCATGTAATCGCCTAATCTAAAAATTAGCAGAAGAAGAGCTTGAATGAATTGGGTCAATTATTGGCTGTTAGTTTTCTTTTGACACGGAGCTGTTCTATTTTAATGTATATATATAGAGCCGTGTAAAATTATCGTACGTATTTTCATTCGAATTAATTTAATTTTAAATCCAGTCAATGTATCTTACCTTCTAAGATCCTTAACCTTAATCTCTATAAAAATGAGAAGAAAGGCATTCAAGAGAGAATTCTCGATTATTGGTCCTTATACTTTTCCTTTCCGCCGTATTTTCATCGCTCAACAATCGCGTCTGCAACGTGCGAATTTCTCAGGGTGTTTTTCTTCATTAGAGTACTTGAGACAAGTCGTACATCGTATATGTATATGCGACTTCTATAAAAACGAGGGAATAATTACGAGTTTTTTAATTCGACTTGGGGGCTCAATGTGTTCAGCTAAAGATCGTAAAAAAAAAAAAATTATATCGAGCATTCATTTATTTTATGGGGTCCTAAGTGATCAAAGGACATGTATATGCGAATTTTTAGTCTCTGCACACCCAGTATACCGTGTCTACCTGGTAAAAAGGGAAAGAGAGAAAGAGACGGAGAGAGAAGAGAGAGAGAGAGAGAAGGAGAGAGAGAGGCCGAGAGAAAGAGAAAGCGAGAAAAGAGACGAGTTGGCTTCCAGCCGAGCGCGCGCGCTTATAGTACCTTATAAATACACGCTTAATTCGCGTCGTATCCGTGCAGGCTACCCTCCGGTGTATACGACGCTGGTACGGGTGCCAGCATGCGCGCGTATGCGTGTATACGTATAAAAGGCAACCTCCTTCGATCCCACGTGTTGCACGGGGAGAAGGGTGGTGGCGGCGGACGGCGAGCCGAGGCGGCGGATGAATGAATGAATCTTAAGACAGTCGTGAGTGGCGCATTCACGAAACCGCGAGCGCGCCTTTGAGGGACGCGCTTTTTTTTTTGAGGGAACCTCGCGCGGCTTCTCCTCGCGTCGTCGCCATTTTCGTCCTCCGTCGCCGTCGTTCCTCCGCATTGTGCACACCTCGCGATTGCGTTAAATGACCGTTTCTTTATCGGCAGCTGAACGCCGAACGACGAGTGTGTGTGCGTGTTTGCGTGCCTCGCTCTCCGCCGCTTCGTTTTCCGCATTTCGCGGTTTTTGAATTTTCTCTTGTTCCCACTGCATTCGCCGTTTCCTTCTCATTTGCCGCGTCTCTCTTTCTTTTTTTCTTTGAATTCTGAGTTGTTTCGACGCTCTGTGGCGATTCCGCGATCTTCGCTTCGATGTCTCGATTGTCTTATGCCGCCAATCGCCAACGTGATCGGCCGTCTATCCGCGAGCAAGTAATTGTATTAATTATCAAAAGTTGTGATTGTGTGAAAAATAAAAAAATGTTTGGAGAAAAGAAAGGAGATTAGTGCACTTTTCCAGGAACGAATCTTCACGAAAATAAGATTTTTAATGGGAGTATCACATAGAATTTTATTTCTAGAATGAAAGTGCATCGAAAGTTATTCAGGTATAGTTTTCGTTAACTGGTGATTATTTATTCATTATAGTGCTAATCTAAATGATCAGTGCATATACTGTTTGGGAAACTTCAATTAAAATTTGCATAAGAGTAATTGGAGTAATCGGAGTTTACATAAGAGTGGAATCGATGCACCGCTGATTTGTAATTTGTTCGTGAGAAATTTCGCAGAACACAAACGCTTTACGACTCTTGATTGCTTTTAGCAGATAATCGTGCGTCGGGAAAAAGTCGTATTATTGATGAAGATAACTTGTTTTAAATTTTCACTTAAATTTGTTTTTAATTTTTATTTACACACTCCCCAGATTATCATTTGTTTCAATTGTGCGCGTAACAATTGTAAGGTGGATATAAATTCTGATCGAAATAAAACTATACGTGCCGTTGTAAAAATTAGTCTAAACTGTGCTATAATATCACTGAAGCTGAAGAACGTGGCGATAGATTGAATATTCGCAGAAAAAAATGCAAGGCGTCTTTTGTTAGAACGAAATGAATTTTCGTCTTGCTTTCGTCAAGCGTTCGTTCGATATCTAAGAGAGGACGATCCCGCAGTTTCGCTTCGACATTAATGCTCCCAAGACCAATAAAATGGAGCTCCCGTGCAAGAGGAGGCATCTCTGGCAGCCGTGGCTTAATGTCGATAGCCTCCGACTGCCTCGCAAAACGGAAGGTACGTCATTTTGTAAAGTGCGATGAAATCTTAATGGGAGCCAAATAGATTAAAAATGAATAAATAAAAACTTTATTACAAAAAAAGTTTCATGTCTAAAATTGAATTCTTAGTAAACAAATTGGAGACATTTTTTTGCGTAATCAGCTAATCGCATATAATTTGACAGAAATCGTAAAATATGTTTTATTAGTGAAGTAGTATTACTCAAAGCGTTCATGCACATTTTACAATCGATTTTTGTTAACGCAAGACGTAAATTAACTTGAGTAGCTTAATAATCGTAAGTACTGCAAGGAATGCTATTCATTCCAGAATGCCAGACACTTTAGGCAAGTGCTGAGATTCTAAATATATAGATAATAAGATATATTAAATTTCATAAATACAAATAAAATAATTATTGAATTTAAAATAGTTTTACTAACAAAAGAAATTTTTATTGGAATTTATTTATCAAAACGTGACCAATCTTTTTAAATACGACTTCATATTTAAAATAATTTTTATTATATGGATTTATTAAACTTATTCCCTTTCTTCATCCTAAATTGTTCAATTTGAAACTAAATTAATAAGACTTAAAGCATTAAAATTAAAAAAAATACAACCTCTGTGAATATTTTTTGTATATAAAGATTTCCGGCGAATTAATTTCAAATATTTCAAGATAAAAATTTTGAGAATAATTGTCGCGTTCACGTCGTATATCGCATCTTCTGAAATTTTAATATTCGCAATAATTTTATGGCACGATCTCGCTTGGCGTTCAATTCTTCGGTTTTCCATTTTAATGTTCGATTTTACGATTTTGAGATAGTTGAAAATAATAAAGCATTATTAACAAAATATATACTGTGTTATGTATTATGCAATTAAAGATACATGGACGTCGAACGCTGAGCGATGTTGTAAGAGTGCTTTGCCTCTCTCATCAAATTTCGTTTTACGGACTAAAGGGGACCTTCGGCTCTCCCGATTTATCCGCTGGATAGCTCCAGCAGCGGAAACGACGAGTCGCCCTATGATTTGGAGTCATAAAGGGACGAGACTCATGTGCGCGTTCGTTAATTATCAGCGGTACATATCGAGGAGTTAACTGACTCTCGTGGCTGGCCTCCCGCCCCGTTCTTCCGTTCATCTCCATGGTCCATTCATCTTTTCCCTGCAGTATACGCGCCTCTAAACCAGTTTCGCCATCTTCTGAACGATCCTCTCACGGCTATTAGGCACTTCCTGCCCATCCTGAGAAACCGAACTCGTTTTTACTACCCTCTTCCCTCGTCCTTCGTGTGCCGTCCTCCTTCTCTCCTCCTCATCTTCCCGCTCTTTCCTCAACCGATCGTGAAGGGTTGTCTCGTTTGATTAGCTTTCCAATTTTAGATATTCCGCCGCTCGGAAATAGACGACCCTCGCGATTTCCGATCGATAGCGCGGCTCATCGCGAAGTGCGGTTAATAAAGACGTAAGAGAGGAATTCTAGATATGCTATCGAAAGTTGCGAAACGTAAACGGGACTCGGTAGCGCGGTCGATGTAGCCAATCAAACTACTTCATCCTTTTCACGCACACGCGCGCTTTTGTGCTTACACTTACACTCTCTCTTGTCTAAATGGACAGTACCTACGAAAATATTTACAGCCAACCTAATTCGTTCTCGTACGTCCACCACTCTTCTCTCTCGTCCCCACTTTGTGACCGTTGTCGATTCGAAATAATGTTGGCGTTCCTTACATACCGTTTTACAGTCCGACAAAGACAAGGGAAAACGCGCCTCTTCTTCGGAGGTTTAATGTGCATATTTCGCTTTTCAATCTCTCGGAAGCGTAGCCAATCTCATTGACTACATGTTGTCTCGTATTGCTTAAAATTAAATTAAAACAAGGTAGGGGAAGTGCGGAGCGATCCGATTCAAAACAAAATGCGTAGTTTGTAGAGTATAGAGATATTGTCGCTACAGCAGACCGAGCACAATCAGTATGAAATAGTCGGGATAACGTATAGAATTCTTTACGAATTCTGTTCTCTTCTTTTAGACTTAGAGTATTTATCTGGATCGATAGACTGTTGTTATTCCTTGTCTGAAATTTCCATCTCGAGGAACAACACTGTCATTCATAGTGGTATTTTCGGTGTCCTCGTATATTGCAGAGGAGAGATCGAAGGTGACGAATCTGCATCGAAAGCCAAGCAGCGCGTGGCGTAAAGACCGTAGAAGAGATCCAATTCAGAGCGAAGCGTTGGACATGTCGGCAGGAAGAACGAATCATCATCACAACAGACCGAGTGTGATCGTTCCTACCACGCAAGTTGGTAAGCAATAATTAATAATGACAGGAAAATCTCTGAAAAGAAAAAGGATATGTAATTACTATCTCTATCAGTTACAATTAAAGTGCAAGACGAATTTTGACTTAAGATTCTGACGCGTGATATCGTTTCGTTTTACATGACTGACGATGAAAAGTTTCGATCTTGAGAATTTTAATATCGAAAAAAGATGCGAGAATCTTACGTCAGGTTACATAGTTCTATGAACAACGAAAAGAATTCAATTTCAATTCGTGCAAGGAAATGTTAGTATAAATTTCAACATTGAAGATTAATTAATAGATTTATGTTTAAATTGAATTTATATTTCCTTTAGCACTGTCATTAATTTTTATAGGAAGAATGAAATAAAATGATTTATTTTGACGTCGAAATAAAGATTATTAGTAAATAATTACCAAACGAAACTTGAATACTAAATATTTTGAAACCCGTATTAATCTTCGTAGCAGCAAACGAATAGTGACATATTCGTCCGCTCGATTTCTAATATAACTTAAGACAATCAGATTTTAATTGAATTTTACCATTATTATATATAATTATATTATATATAATAGGAAACATTTTACATAGACAATAAATGTGCGTTTAACTGATCTCGTCTCAAAATTTTAAGCCATCTTCAAAATATTCTTACCGAATTGTTCCGACTAACAAAACGAAAGATCTGACGGTACCAGTCGTCGTTAGGCATCTCCTAGTAGTCTCTATTGTTGCCAAGGGTGTCTGGAAGTGATGGAGGGTGTTTTTATGACAATGCATCGTCCGCTGCATCGGGATGTTGTGCAGATGCGACATATATCTCAACGGAAATACAGTTAATTCCTCGGCATACCTTCGTGTTAACGTTTATTTTTCTAAAACATTCATCTTCATATTAGTTATAGACGGAATTAATGCGGATATCCATTTATTATAATGATATAGTAGATAGATTTATCATTTCTAGAAGTTAATTTTTTTGCTAAAACTAATAGTGGCTTTATATCTGATAAATTATTATGAAATATTATTTAAGTAATTAGCTAAAATATGTAAATAATATACTATTATGATATTTTCAATTAGATTTCTTTAGTCTAATCGGAGAATCTATTTCGAACAGAACATTGTCATGTTCTAGCTTCTTGTTAAAAATTATTTAACTTACTTAAATGACTGTTATATTCTTCATTTTAGATTTTTTCTTAAAATTATATCTGCTTTTGTAATTTATTAATTTTTATTTTAATATTACGTGTAAAACGGTGAAAGTAATTTTACGTACGATACGTATTTACATATATGTACAATAACATTACGTATGTGCAAACTGAAAATAATATTATTTAAATATATAAATATTTAACTAGGATTGACGTAGTTGAACATACGATGAAAACATTTCTCCATGTTTCTTTTCTCCAGGTATCACAATCGAGGATACGGCTATGACGTCGACAACGACGTCTACCACGGCCTCGGGTGGACAGAGGACCGTTATCAGGATGGCGGGTGGCGTCAGCGATCCCGCGATTGACGAGCACTTCAAACGGTCTCTGGGTCCGAAGAAGTACGCGGCCGTCTTCAACGCTAATACTACGGACAAGGAAACTGGCTTGAGTGGTAAGTACAGACAGATATTAAACATATGTATGCCCCGTGAGGGATAAAGTAGACACGACAGTCCGGATGGACCGGCCCTGGGTGACGATAACTTCCATGGTCCAGGCTGGCCCAATCTGGATCCAGTCTTGTCTTAGCCTCGCCTTTGCCTGGACCAGAACCCTTAAGCGTTCTTTGCGCAGTTGACGATCATTTCGCGAAAGCGCTCGGCGAAACTTGGACGAGGCTTCAGGCAATCAATCGAAATAAGGAGTCCACCTAACTACCGGACAGTCTCGCCGGAAATCTTGTCGTCCTACTCGTCGTCGTCCTCGCCGTCGCTTAACGACCGTGGTAACCCACTCGGGGTAAAATCGTTCCAGTCTCGCTAAATATATATTAATGATAAGTCATAACCTGATAAGAATTAGCCGAATTCGCGACTGTATTCGAGGAACTCCTACGTTCAAGTAAAACTATAATTAGGGACGAAAAGATTTAATAAAGGATAAATAAAGAGAAATAAACGCACATGTTAGGATATGATTTTATAAAAATGCAGGATATTTTCAACTGGATTTTTATATTGATTTCGATAATTGGGAAATATCGAGAAAAAGAATATAAGTAGAAAGTTAAAAAATAATGGACTAATGACGGTATTCATAGTTGATAATTATATGATGAATAATCATAGATTTATAAATCTCTGATTATTCATAAAAATTATTGAAAATTATTTACGACTACGAACATCGTCCTACAAAAAAGTGGAATTACTATTTATTCAGAATATTAAATTCATTGATTCGCTCCTCTTGTAAATTACATCTTTTACAAGTGAAATTTGAATCTGACCTCTAATTAAATAAATATAATAAATTTATATAATATTTAAACAATTAATATAAATTTATTTATAATATAAATTTAAATCCTTTTATTTTTTCTTATATATTTGATTTATATATATTTTCTTTTTTAAGTGTCTTATGGAATTCATAATTATTCGCTTATATACTTTTTCTCTATCCAGACTCTTTCGTAGACATTTTATTTTAATTGGTACGTACCGCGTTGTGTAAGGAGGGTATCAAGTGTCCTTGATCTTCTCGCTTTTCAACTGGGTGCTCGTTGTCGTCGCTTTTTCGCTAGATACGCGTATAAGAAGACATCAGGAGGGTTGGCCTGTTGCACGCTGTATTTTGTACGGGCGAATTTAATATTATTGTATATAGGCACACATATTCCTTTATTATCGCCATCGCCACAGTCATTACCGTATAGTTCCGAGTTGTGTATGAATATAAAGTTATTTATTATAATATTTCATACTTCCTCGCAAAATAGTATGTTTATACAGGTATACATATTTATGTAAATATCATTCCGTCGGCAATCCTGGTCTTTTAATATATAGCCGATTTTTTTATTGCAATTTTAAGAGAATAAATAGATGGTGAAGTTCTCGGTATTCCGCCCTAAAAAATTTTCTGTTATGGTAAAAACTTGTTAAAAATTTTTCACAAGTATACATGAATTATCTTAAATTTTTACATATAGTGCGGAACAATAAAAATATTTGATGTAGACTTTAAGGACTCATTTCCTAAAATCTAAGGGAATCTAAGTTGGAAATTTCACATTGCCGACGGAGGGATATATATTCATAGATATGTATATACATACGTGTATGTAATATTTACTTATGTTAGTAAGCGTACGATATTATACTCGTGGAAAACAATGGTACGGCCCCTCCTAGTACAAGTAATTTCAATAAAGTGCCAGCTATTTTGTAATTCAATCGTGCACAGTTCGCCGACCGAATGCCCGATTGCATATAATGACATTTTCTCTTTTAATTAAATTGAGCGGAGTTACTGACGAACACTGAATGAATTTGACAATTAGAAATACTAAATATTCACGATGTTTGTTGCGTAATTAATTTCACTCGCAAAGTACAGGCATGTGTCGCGTGTGGACAATTGTCCAAAATAATTCGGACAACTGCGACTGCGCTTAATTCGTCCCAACTAGGGGGGGTCAGATCATTGTTCACGGGTGCATATTATAATAACGACCGTAATGCCGGAGAGAGCTCCATGAGAGGGAAGCGAATAGAAAGAACTATAATTTAACAAAGCAGGGCACCACATTAGTTATAAATATTATATAAGTGTCATGTCTTTGAGCCACAGGACTGCGCTCGAAGCTGCAAAGATAAAAAAGAAAAGCAATCGAACAGGATGTGTACAGGTAAATGATGATGACAATGATGTATGAGAAAGATTAAAGGGAAAAGATGTTTAATTATTTTCACAGCGTGCGTTGATTTCCGTCCTATCTTCTCCCGATCCCCCCGGGTTACGCGCGATTACACGCACGGGGAACGATCCTGCCTCGCTTTGGACCCTAATTGTCGAATGCTAAGAAGAGTAGTACTGATTTCTAATGGTGCTAGGAAGTTCAGCGCATACCCCAGCACGCACAGAAGTCAGTACCTCTACTTTCTTATATGCAAAATTTCTATCGCTCTCTATCGTCGTAACGTAAAGCGCGCTGCGCAAACGCGATTTTCAAGCGGGATTACCTCGAAGCTTTAACGAGATGATGTTCGTCGGAAGAAAGTCAAGTATCTGCGAAAAACTTTTTTTTACGATATCACAAACAATTCTTGAGGCCAATTTTTATGGTCTTTGAATGCGGAGAATTCAATTTTGTAGAATAAAATATTTAACACAATTAAATTCGAGAGCGGTTTTTACGGCCAAGGCTAGATCTTGACGCTTAATAATATGTCTATGTAACTTCTAAATCCATTTTTCAGCTATTTAAAGTGCGCGTCGAATTATTATTAAATTGTTGTTGGAATTAGAATTCACATAGACATATATTATTAGACACCAAGATCCAGTTTCGTTCAATTTATTATACTTTGGAACATTTTGCACCACGAGTGTGAATAGTGACTTCCGACGTATTTTTTACCTGCTGAATCCGTTGGCAAAAGTTGACTATCATGTCACGACGAGTTCGTTTTCGGCCTTTTTGACGCATTTTTCTCAAAATTGTGACGTGATAGCCAACTTTTGCCAACGGACTTCTGTTCAGCAAGCAAAAATACATTGGAAATGACTATTCACACTCGTGATGCAAAAGAAGATCAAATTTTGTTTCACAGTTATAGTGTTATTATTAAATTATTTAATTTCATTTTCTTTGACGGAATTATTCCTCGTGGTGCTATATATAATACGTACCTCTTTTCGTTGCGTCGCTTGTCCCACATTTCGGTGATTTCGATTGGCTATCCTTTAAGATGAACGAACGGGGATGCGTTTCAAGTGCGAGAAAGCGCGAATCGTGGGTGGGCCCAGGTGGGGCTGTCTTGCAGAACGATCACGCTCTCCTCCTTTCCAATTATCGGGACGAGCTCCCTTCGCGATTGAAGATACGAAAGGAGCAACGCTCGTCGATCTACCGCGGGACTTTCCCCGGAACGGACGAATATTGTTAATCGTAGGTGGGCCCAGACGAACGGGACAGACTGTCCCAGGAGCGCTCGGATGGCTTCCTATATGCAGGCGGCCTGTTCACTTGCCGTAAAGCGAAGTGGTAACTTAATATTACAGCTGAATATAAGTACGGTAATCCCACACCCGAGTCCAAAGTAAGTCTACACCTTGTATCCTCCCCTCCCCCTCTCTCACGCCCTCAGATATCGCATTAAAATACAATAAAATATATAGTTTCCCGAAATAGATTAATTATTCTTACCTTAATTCTTTATTAACTTCTCCAATCAACCTCTTAGAAAACCGAAGTTTATTAGAACGAGGATCGAAATCGGATCTGATAACCGTCAAATCGACCACTCTCACACGAAATCACGCATCAAAATTTTATTTTAATAACAATAATATACTTATTTTCTTAGCGATAATTAATAATATAGAAAATTGTAAATAAATTTCGGACTTCTTTTCAGTATATTTTAAGCTTTTACTTTAACTCGAATATCTATATGCTTGCACAGAAAGAAATTTTTTTAAAATGTGGTAACTGTTCATTACACGATCACATTCGTATAACGAATTGCGATAATATCGTGATAAATCCTTGCCTTTTGTTACAGACAAAGCGAGTTGTTACGTTTATCCTTTTGTAGTCTTCGAGTGATTTTTAACGAAATGCGAGACAGGTGTTTTCAAAGTACGGCCTTGGCGTTAAGGTCAGCTACGTTATCATCTATGCATTTCTTTGTTATATGTTGTTTGTAACATTTTAAAACGCAGATTTCTTTTAGACTTTTAAACGCGTTATGTATATTTCATATGCTGATTAAAGTCCCTTCTCATTTATTTCAATATCTATTGATATTACATTGATAAATTATTACCGAATTATTTATTGTATTTAGAAAGTTATCAGACGATATTAACTAATTATAAGATTTGTTAATATTTTTTTTATCCATAAAACGATATAGCAATTAAAGTATCCGAAGTAGTGTTGCTCCTCAAAATTTTCAACTTTTTCCCGAATGACTTCGAAAATTATCTAAGGAGAGAATGAGCGCTACTATTACGTATTTTCTATTCACAGTTTTTTAACTCGTTGCTGACGACGGGTGTAAATAAAAAGGACTCCGAGAAAATACAACACATCCCGCATAATTCATAATTATAATCGAGGCAAGCGCCTCACTTCCGGGGGACACGCAGCACAGCTGGAAATGGGCCAGTGGATCGCATTGGGGCAGATGCTCGCGTAAAACGCACATTTTCCAACAACGCGCAGGTGTTGCCTGGCATATTGAAAAGGCATATTGACCCTTAAGGCTGTGAAGCGAATCCGAGTGATGTTCGTACGTGTTTGAACGTCACTGTTATTCTCTCTCTGCCGTATAAAATGTTAAAATATTAAAACGGAAGAGAACACAGGAATTCGAGGTAACAGGAAGGGTGTGATTTGAAATTTTTGCGGGAAGATATATATCCTATGAGAAATAAAAATTTTTTAAATCATTCACATATCTCACTCAATATATCACCGTAAAATCGATCTTGTGTTATAACAAAAAAAAACTCAAGATTTATGTATATGAAATAAATTAAAAAATATGTATTATATCAGTTTTTATATAAAGATCTAAACCTCGCGGTTGAGATACGGCTCTGAAATTCTGTCGTTCTCAATTTCGGTTGTAATTTGTAATAACTTGAAAAATTGTTTACAAATTATTTCCAAACTGTATTTCTCTTATAAATAAAAATGTCGAGCTCTGGTAATATCTTGTATTCAGTAAGCGATTTCTCAATCTTAATTTATATGAAAAGCATATCGGAAGGCTCAAAAAAAAGGACGACAAGCGGAAATATGTTACCTATCTTGAAACTGTTTTTCAAAATTGTCTAGTATAGTATACAAAATTAGTTATCGAGTACTTACGAGTTGATTGCGTTGGTGATCGATAAGCAGGTATCGAGCGCTGATCACGTACTAGTCTATCGTCCACGGAGACGCGACACGTTACCGTTTGTTTACGTCAAGTCTCTCAGGCGTATCTCGTTTCTGAACCAGATCCGGCCGACCGCAGGCCCCGGCGTCGTTTTTCCGTTTTCTTCTCTTACGTTACACGCGCGTACCGTGTCAACGCCGACGCGGAATAAGCGAAAAACAAAGGCAGAAGCGGAAAGAAGAAATCGGGAGCGCGATATAATGCCGAAGAACGGAGGAATGTCGAGGAAAGAAACGGAATGGAGTTACGCTTTGTCTGAAGGTTTCCTCGAGATATTTATGCAAAATCGAAAAATGTAATATGTAATTTAATCCCGCTGACGGTTTTTAATCTCGCGGACGTATCGGAAGGCAGCGCGAGAAAAATAAAGAACAACACGTAACGTAAACAAGGACGTGATAAAAAATCTAAGGTGTCGCGAGTTGAATAAATCGGGACTGAATAAAGCGAGCGATGATGTAGTGCGATCTAATCTAACGATGGAACGTGCGAATATTGATTTTAAGATATCCGTGAGTCAATAAGATTGCACAGTTGACCTAAAGAAGATACAGTACAGACGCACACATGTAGGTTAGAATTAATATAGAAATAACACGGAATTGTAGCGTATTGTTGTTACGAGTCTACTGTAAAAATATCGTAGAAATATTATATAAAATAAAAATTACGATTGCATAGGGAGGAAAAGGGAACCAACGCGGCATGGGACACCGACATCGTGCGTTGCGTTTGATTCGCGACGCCGCGCGCCTTGCATCGAAATCCCCGGAGCCGCCCCCTGTACGAACATCGGATCGCCCCCGTTCGGCAGTGCCGAGTCATTCTGTTCGGAACACTCCTATGGCGTGAATTACTATTCCACGATCTCCCAACAAATGGGCTATAATCCTTGATCCTTCGAACTACACATTCACACATGTACACACACATATACACACAGACGTACACACGATGTGGATCGATAATATGCTCCGACTTCCCAGTTTCGTTTTAACTATCCTCGTTAACTATCATGTTATCATCATATCATGTTATGGATATGTATTTGCCCAAATCGGAAATAGAAAACAAGGTTATCTCCTTCTGTCACTTTTTGACGTTTAAATAAATACATATCTCTAAACTGATTCTCTCGAAGAAAAAAATCTATCAGAGTTTAGTTGGGAAGGTATCTATTTTTTTTTCTTTGTTTACAGAAAGATTTTGTCGAGAAGAGATCGGCTGCGGACACGGACGAAAGTATTTGTGTGTTGAAAGAAAGTATGGTAGAGACGCACTTTCGCGAGCGTCTAGGATGCGTCACGCAGATTCCGCGCGTTGCATACGCATTTTTCTCTCATGCACGCAACTGTCACCGCGCTGTCTGAGTCATACTGATCCTGTGCCGAGCGGAAAAGTTCGTCGCTGTTTGCACGTAATCGATCTGCACGCGTCCCTTACGTAATCCTATTATAACGCCTATAACTCAACGCCGTAGGGTTCAAGAGAGCACGATTGCGCAAATTCTCGAAATCGATCGTCCTTCCGCAATCGAAGGGTTATCCCATAAACGGCAACGCATACAAATTCTTGCATCCGATCGCTGTAGATTCTTATAACGGGATGCGAACCATAATTTTTAAATTGTTGCGCTATGAACATTTTAAATATTTAATTTTGAAATTATTGAGTCTTAATATTATTTTGTAAATACTACCGATATTTATATCAGCTATTTATTTTGATTTTTTTTCTAATTATAAAGTATCGTCGAAACGAACAAAAGAAGCGATCAACCTTGATTTAAAAAATTCACCGATTTAAATATTTTTATACGAAAGCTCCCTTTAGTTCCTCTATGTTTAATGCCTCAGCCATTGAATTTTTCACAATAGGGATAACAACGATCATTTTTGTTTCAATTAAAAAAAAAGGAAGCAGATCGAGACGTCTCAGCGCGAAAGCATGCAAAAACCAGCGTTGATCGTCCTCATTGAAAGTGACGCGCATTTCGCAACGCGAACGACATACGCGGGCTGATTCACCCTGCCGCTCCATTCATTCTTACACCCTTACTACACCTCGTGGCGGGAAAGCGCGCAGCCGCGTTGGCGGCGGATACTTTGTTCTCCAAATTGTTTCGTCGCACTTCCGACGAGCCTTCGTTCCAAGTTCACTCTAATCACGAAGACCTGACTGGACAGAAACGCATTAAGGTAGCTGCACGTCAGACGTCGAAAGCTCAGTTTTGCATGAGAGAAGCGCTCCCAAAATATATTATCTAACAATTATATATAGTATCTAGCGTGAAATAATTAGAAATAAATGAGAAAGATAATTTTTTTGATTATTTCAAGATTACATGTAAAATGGACAAATTTTAATAATTTTAATAATGATCTATATTGTTTCGCACAGATCAAAGCGGTGATCGTCAACGTTAATTGACGATTAATATGAATTGAACTAACTTGAATAAATAATAAAACAAAATAAAGAGCAATTTGCATTTTGCTTCGACATTTAATTCGAGATTTCTCGATCGTCAAATAACAATTAATGTCAAAAACTAAAAATTACGTGCGAGAATCAATAAAACTATAAAAAGAATGATGCAGAGGCATTTAATAAAAAAGGCGTCCTTAATTTTTCAAGCGCTTTCTGGACTCTTGTCAGATTTTTCACACACTTTTCGATTACATCGTCGATTACATCGACACACGTCCGATTAAAGAATCACGCGTGATAAAATTTCTACTCCATCTGAGAAGCACACGCTAGAATTCTTGGAAAAGCGAAGAATAATTGAATATGAAATATCGAATTCGGTGACGCATCCGTCGAGGATGATCCCGGGAACGCGACGAGTTTTGCTGCGTAGAAGCGCACGTTTTCCCGTGTCTCGCGCGCGTGACGGCGGATTCGTCGCGGAATTACACAACGGTTTCCACTGCCTGGGAGGGGGTGAAAACTCGGTTAACCGGAAGTGGCGCATCGCCGCCGGGCGAGGAAGAGACACGCGGCGACGCGACGTGACGCGACGCGACGCGACGCGACACAATGCTAACGTGACAACGCGCGTACCTCGGACACGACTGATCGAGTGACCGAGGGGGTAGCATCGCGAGGGGTATACCCCTCCCCGTCACGCGCGGGAACACGCGCGCTGACGCTTATGTATAGAATTACGCGTGTGTCCGGACACGGTGTGCGTATACTACTGTCGTACACCCGGAGGCTCGTCCCCCCATTTCGTTTCGTGAACACGAGGCGGTTCGAGGGAAGAGACGAGTGCGCTGGCGACGGAGAGCGTGGACTCTCCGTTCCCCCCTCTTCACCCCCTCCCCCATCATTCTCTCCCTCCGTCGCACGACTTTCTTTCGGCCCCTCTCTCGCCCTCTCTCTCTCTCTCCATCCTTCTGCTCCCCTAGCAAGAGCGTCCCGCTCGTCCCCCTCCAACCCTCTTCGGCACGCTCTCGCGTGCGTGAATCATGCATATCGATTTTCTTTCGTTGGAGTAAGCGAGGGCCGTTCGGTAGTCGCTCACGTATGCTCGTATCCCGCTACCCTTTCCCGTCTCTCTCTCTCTCTCCCTCTCTCTCTTTTTGCCCCTTTCCTCTCTTCCCACCCCCTTTTCTTTCTGACGGAGAGCCCGGGGGCCGTGTCGCGCCACGGGTGAACCCCCCTTCTGAAAACGCATACGCGCGCAGTACCTGATTCTTTTCGCACAATGGCCCGTATTCTCGCTTTTCTTTTGCCCCCTTGCTCCCTCACTCTCTCTCTCTTTCTTTCTTCTCTTTTGCTACCCTCGTCCTTTTCTCCGCGTACCCCTCCTCGTTACGTCGCATGAAGCCCTCGACGCTTATTTCCCCCCCCCCCCCTCTTGTACCTCCGACGCTTCATCACTTCTTCAACCCCCCTGCGACGCTATTTTACGCTCCAGTAAAATGTCCCCGAGACAGAGCGCGCACAGAAATTTGGAAATGCAAATCTTTGGGATTAATTTTAATCTGCGTAGTTTTACATCGATATACTTAATTTGTTTTATTGCTCTGATAAAAATAAAAGAATAATTTTCCTTTCGCAAGGAAAAATTAATTGAATAAGTGATTTTTTCCCCTCTCATAGTTGGGAAAATCATTTTCCCAGAGTTACAGTTTTATCATTACGATATTTTTCATGGCAAATTTATTAATGGGAAATACTCTTCGCGAGACGATTTCCATTTCCGCGTGTTGAAAATACATGCTGGCTCATCAAGTTCTTGTTAAGAGAGAAGCGGTACAGGCGGGGGTTGCCCATGGCGGAACCACTGATCCCCCTCTCCCCCTCTCCAGTCTTTCTTTTCCGAGCATCCCTTTCTGCCTTCCTCGTCTTCGTGGCGGCAGTCCCCTCCGCCCCTCTGCGCGTTCTACAAGCCGAGCACGGTAATAAACTTCTTTTGTTTTCGAACACCCTCGTCCCATTCTTTGCTTTTGCTTCTTAGTCGACGACAAAGCGAGGGCCCGCGCGTGCCCGACGAGCGAACAATCGCACGCTCGTTTGAATCGGCGGGCAGCTCTGCGCTCAACCAAGCTCGAAACCAGAAACATTCGCTTTAGCTCCGACTTACCCTAGCACAGATGGACTAAAAGCTAATGATTGCTCCAATTTGAGCCAAAGAAATTTAGGAATTCGGTGCAACAGTTGTATTATATGTGTATATTTTCTTAAAAACTCGAGAAGATTAATTAAATTTTAATTTTCGCATCTCTTTGCAGGAATAACTTTTAATACCAGTATTTATACATTAATTTCATCGCTGACTTTTTTAAAACAAACTTTCCTAATTTTTCTGTAAAACGCAATTTTGTTGTATAATACATACACGTAATCAATATAAAAATACAATAGTCTTTGATAAAGAAATTATGTTAAAATCAATTATCATCGGCAGTTTTACGCATACCCAATTATCGAGGGTGTATTTATCTACAAAAATAGACGTCGCATACTTCTGGCGTACGGGGATGCGTTCAGGAGAAACCAGGAACTACCCATGTTATAAATAGTTCCTTTAATAAGTAAACGTGATAAGTGTATGGCGTTTTAACATGAAATAGAAATAACTTTTTATACAGACGTACGATAGAGTAATGTACAACAATTTTATACAATTGCGTTTCGCATTTTTAACGAAGGGCGTAGAGTCCTCATAAATTCCATAGAAGTATCCGAAGGGCGCCATCGAGACTACCGTTAGTAATTTTTCTTTTCTTGCTAATAAATAAATAGGTACTGTTCAATCGGATGGCACAAAATAAACTTCAGTATATAGTCCCCAACATAAATATATAATTAAGTATAACGTCGGCGGTAAATTATACGTCTAAACTGATCTCCTTCGCGTCACTTCGCGCATCGTCCTAGAACTTAAGTAAATTATCATGTGTGTATACGGTGCCCCTTTTACGTCTACGTAGCACGTTGCAGTTTCGGAGGATAGTTGTAAAAAGGATAATTAACTAACTAGCCGGTGTAGCACTTAAAATGCAAGTGGAATGTTACCATGGACCTTATTGCATTCTCCTACGAGGTAATCACAAGAAATTCGTGAGTTTCTTTTTTATGTTACCCTACATTAATTACGACGAGAGTAGCAGCCCGAGCTGTAGACTCGGTTACGCAATTGAAATCGCATATATGTATATGTATATATATATATATATATATACATATCGTACTTTTTGGCCACTAGATCACTTAGAATAGTTGCACACGTCTGGAAAAGTTCGGCACTGCCCTGCCTCCCTAACCGCGCGCAGTCAGTTATTCGTTGAGTGTAATTTATTTTTCGAGGAAATAGAAAAATCTTATTGCATTCAACAGGAATATAATAGAGAAAAGTCTTATCATTATTGTACACATTATGTAAGAAACGACCTACCTACAAGTGACCTAACGAGATAATAGAAAGAAGCTAAGTTGTAAATAAGCAAGCTCAAGCTTGCTTTGAATATCTTACTTTTTTAGTATTCCAATGTATAATTTCTATATATATGTATAATTTATATTTTTCTAAAATCTAGAGAGTACCTTATCTTTTATTCACAAGACAATTTTTACTTATTTCTTACGTTGCAAATCTCCTTTCAAAAAGCTTCAATATTTTTGAGATATTTTTGTCCATTGGGAATACTCCAAAAAGTTTTCGGCGTCGATTAACTAATGAAGAAAACAGGAACTTTTCCGACGTGCGCATCGTTGAACGTATATAAATCGTCAAAATATGAAAGCGTATGACTTTCGTTTTGTTCCCTGTCGAAAGCTATAGGCGCGACGGGTGTCCAATGCAATGGCATATATATGCATACTGCAGCTCAGAGAACTGTTTGAAGAGGCTAAAACATCCAATATCTTAATAAGCGTAATGATTGTGACGATTCCTTAGCCTATTGAGCTCCGCATTCAGCACTTTGTGTTTTATCTCAGAAAAATAGTGAAATGATGAAGAGTCTGAACACTGTCATAATCTACTAAACTCACACACTTATTAAGTACACCTTATAATTAATATACATTAATTGCTACCATTTTTAAAACAAAAGAGTAAAAATGAAGTCTTCCTACAAAAATAATCAAGATTTCGAATTACAAGCAGATATTTTATCAAATTTTCAAATACATTTCTCTGTAGAGAAAATACAAGAGTGAAGTAGAATAAGAGTTCAATGGGTTAAGAGCACAGATATCCTAAATATGTTTCTTTTCCGTTGGACACTTTGCACGAGTATTTTTTTTTTAATATCGTGAATCTCTAAGCTACTCAAAGAGAAGAGAGATGCACTTTATTGAAAATTGCTAATGAAGTCGAAATTTCTAATCCCGTGGATCTCTTTCGACCGCACGAGTCGCTCTCACACCATTGCATTCGGACATCAGTCCGCCCTATTCTTCCATCAGGACTTCGCTTTACTCTTACTCCTCACCCGCGGCGAGACCGAATAGAGTTTCCTGAAAACTGTCACTAGATTGTTCTGCGGGAATAAAGTCTCGACGATACCTTCCAGCAGCACGTACAACAGCCTTCTGTTTAGTACGGGCCGCTGAAACAGCTCGAACACTCTTAGCAAACCGCGCCTCGTCGTCTCGCTGCCTATGATATGTTTCAATTCATCCGAGAGACACGAAAGCAAAGCTATCTTAGCTGCCACTCGCGTTCTGTTCTTCATCTCCGTGTCTCGCGGCGGTTTACTCTCGGCCTTCACGCCGTTCGGCCAGAAGCTATTCCTGTAAAATTGTTATTAATTCACGTTAATAATGTCCCCACTTAATAATTTCCCTCTATATATTCCCAGATTTACTTTTAAATGTTGAGTGAAAATTAAATAATTATAATCACCGTAAAGAACAATTAAAATGATAAAATATACATAGAGATCATTTTATATGGAAATATCAATGTTCTTTGATGTTCTTGATAAATTGATGTTCTTTGATGAATTGGCAGTTTTATATGGAAATTATATTAATGAGATACATCAACTATCCCACTTACTTGAATAAGCGCAAATATCCCGCGACTTTTGACGGGCTGGTCATGAACGACACGTACTCCACTATCCTTCTATTCACTATGTCCCCGAACATCGTGCGAATGATTTGGCGCAGTAGCGTTATGATCCGCCGTCTCAGCCACTGATTTCGCACTTTTAAATCGAAGATCTCGTCCATTAACAGGAGCATAATTCGCAACGGGATATTGTCATCGGTCTGTGGAAAATACGAATCGAACGAGTCGATCAGTTGTATCGATATCCTAGAGATGTAATGCGAATGTGTAAAATAGAGAAATACCTCTGTATCGAGACCGGCGCTAACTTTGGTATTCTCATAAAATATACTGGTCTTTTTAGGATTGCCGAAAAATTTGCTCAGATTGTCCATTACGCCGTCCACCGTACTCAGCATGTTGTCCGGCATTGTTTTAACCGCCTGCGTGACGCTTTTCATAGACGTCTTCAAGGGATTCATTAAGGTATCTATCTGTATAAAGCAAATTTATTTACAATTAGTTTTTTTCTAATTATGTATTCGAAATCGTTATAAGGATTAGTATATATAATTTCCCATCTCCTAATTTCAGAATTAATTTTTCGCTTTTAAACAAAAATTAAGCAGACTAAATAAATAGACTATTCATATTTACCGTTCTCGAGATTTGCCCGCCAGTGACACCTTTATCGTAATCCCCTTGCTCCAAGAAGGCCAACAAGAGATTCTGCAATCCCATGTGCCCATCCATGATCGCGGGTTTCGTCAGTTGGCACAACCATGCGTTCAACATCAACATTCGTCTCTCCAACACCGTGCGCTCCATATTGTGGAAGGCCTTCTTCGCGGGGAAAGGTATTTTCGCCAGATCGTAATACTTTTCCTTGATCTTCTGATGCAAATCGTAGAAGTCGGAGTACCGTCTGTAGATATGCCACTTCTCCTTGTAGCCCGAATCGTAATTCTTCGTGATCGCCACCGCGTATATGCCGTACGTTTTTCCGCGATCGCTGACGATACCGGTCTCTATGATCGTGGCGGTGATCTCGAATCGGCCCTGCTGCAGCTTCTTGATCGCATTCTGATCGTAGTTGTTCTCATCCAGCTTGACGAATTGCTCCGCGTTGGTCTCCACGTAAAACGAAACGTCCTTCTTCTCACCGATTTGGTCGATCTCCGCGGTAAAACCCGTACGCGTGTTTCTCACGCCTCTAAGACTGCCCGTGTCCGCATCAACTTCATCGGATGCCCTACCTTCGTTCGCCTCTCCTATGCTCGTCAAGCTCGTCGAAGAATTCGATTTTTTAGTGCCCTCCTTTGCGGCTGCGAGCTTCGCGTCGTCGGCTTTGTACGTCTCGGACAATTCCTCCAAAGTGTCCAATTCGAGATTCGTGCTGGACAAGCTTATGCTGTCCAAGGATTTTGCGTCGTCCTCGGACACCGGATCCTTCAGAAGATCCAGCTCCGCGAGCAGTTTCACGTAAGCCAACGATCTCTTGAAACCCGGCAGAAATCTGTCTTCATTCTGCAGTTTCTCGTAGCAACAATTTCGCAGCTCGTCGAACCACGTTTCCTTGACCAACTCCGTCTTCATTCTCGTGAGCAAGCCCTTCACCAAAGTATCATCCAATTGCAGCTTGGGCGACGCCTTGTCGCTGAGGTACTGCTGATAGATCTTTGTGGCTGCCTCCTTCAGATTATCCAGATCCGCGTTCTTACGTTTAGCGCCGATCGCACCTGCGTTAGATTGGGCATGGATCTTCTGTAACTCGATGTCCGATATCTGTTGCTCGGCCGAGACCCTCCATCCATAGATATTCAGGTAAAAGAACAGGTACGCTTCTGCATTTATGGAGGTCATGTAATCGATGAAGTAACTGAGAGCGATATTGTTCTTCAGCAACTCATCTAATGGTAAATTAACTAGCTTTTGGCCCGGTATGAGCAATCTGTTCCACTCCGGTTGAGCGCCGATACCGTCCGTTTCCGTTTCCAAGCCCTCCTGCATACCGATGATCCTCGTCTCCAGGATTTTCTTCACGTAAACCAGACTGTTCAGCTGCTGCTTCACCGACAGATCGTCATCTCCGCCCGAATCCTTTGAGCGCAGGTGCGCTATTTCTTTACAGACTATACTTTTCGTCGCCATTAATTCGTCTAAATTGTCCGTTATTCTAATTACTGTTAAAAAGATATCACTTGGTAAACCACCATCCTTAGTACACTAAAATAAAAAAGTCGGAATATTATAATTCGGATAGAAGTATTAGTGCTATGTACAATACGTGATAAAATGTCGAAATGAATAAGAACATGAATAGATTTTTTAAAATAAATTTGAAAATGAGTTTGTAAGTAAATCAGCTTTCATTTAACTTATTAAGGAACAAAGTTCTCAAATTTATATTTACAAAGTTTATCATTAAAATCGTCATTGTACTAACCAGCCATATACACGCCTGATTAATGTAATCAGGATCGGAGAATAGATCCAATAATGGCCTGATTATAACATTCACTAACAATTCCCTTAAGACAAATCTCACAGTTAAACAATCGAAGTCCGCCTTGGGTAGCACCAGGTACAACAGAATTTCGGATATTTCGCCCAGGAATTCCAATTCCTGGGTGTCGTTCGTGCATACCAAATCTCTGCATATCAGATTATTTTCCATCTGCACCTCGAGATCGAAAAATATCTTTTCCAGCGATTCGTCCTCCTTCTCATCGCCAGACGATTCGATTGGCTCGGTAAGCGATGATAGGTTGGGTGTATAAAATTTCGACTGCGAGTACCAAGACACGTCGGTCTCACTCTTATTTCGCCGATGAGTGGGAGTCTTCTTCGGAGTCCCGCCCGACGTGCTTGAGCTGGCACTGCCTTTCTGGATCCTGTTCGATCGTAATTGCTTCATCCTCGCGCTTGCTTGTCGATACAACCTGACGTGCGAGGCCGCATCATCGACGAGTCGTGTAGTCAAGTAGGGTATCCAATCGACACTCTTGACCCTGTTTTGTACAACGATATTAGACAATAGAATTTTAATCAATAGAAAGATAGGTAATCCCTTTTTAAGTTTTTAATAAATATTATTTAAGAATTTAGAATTTTAACAAAATGTACTGAGATATTTTATATAATTATTATTGTTGAAGAGCTAAAGAAAGTTAGCATATAAAATATTCGAATTCCAATTAAGTAAATATTAATGGAACAGTTTTTACATACCGATTTGCTAAATTGATGGCGATTTTTTGGGCAGTATCTCGAACGGAATAGATAAATTCCTCATCGTCCGTAACAATGCTGTACCAGGGTTCCACGTAATCTCTGATCAAGAAATCCAAAATTTCCTAAAAGTACATTACAACAAATACATTAAGCTCAATAATCGACAGACAATTCGATATTTTTCTATAAATGTTGTATAATATAAAAATTTCTATAAATATGTACTTGCAGGGATTCGTCAATGATACGGCTACCAGTTATTCTTCTATCTAACGTAAATGTCATCCTCTCCCTAGACACATCTAGTATATACTGCAAACATAACACGTGGAATATAAAGTGACAAGTCGCGAATTAACGGCGGATAATTTCGAAATTTTCCGGAAACTTACCTGCCGGAACTTTTCAGTCTTCTTAGATAAATCTTCCCTTTCAGACTTAATCACATTGTCGAGATTCGGTGAGTACGTTTTATATATACAAATCAATGTTCTGCAACAGAATATTTACTTTAATTATTTTTTAATGTATATATTTATTAAAATGATTCTTCACAATTTAATATTTGTTAGTATCTTGATGTTGTACATTTTATATATATTTTGCTTTTAATTGAACGTTCGTATCTTACCCTAAAATTAACGCAAGCAAGCAGATTAAAAGTTTTACAATTGTTCCTATGCCGAGGACGTAAGCAAGCAGGGTAGCGGCAGCTCCGAGAACGCCGTACAACGGGACGTTCATCTGCAAAAATAACGATCTATCATCAGAGACATTGAATTGATAATATATTCCAAAACTTGTACCGCGTTACTTATTTATGCTAAGTATGAACCATAATTATTTCTAGAGATAGGAGTTATCTCTAGAGATAATTGCGGTGTATACTTACCATAAGTCATGTGTAGATAATGCAAAACAAACACACTGTTAAAATTTTTCTGGCAGCAACGTATCAACTGTCTCCTCGCTCGTATGTTTATTAAAAATAGTAGAGTTTATCACTCGTATCGGGGGAATAGACAGAGAAATACAAAGGAAAAGACACGTATAGCTTAATGATAAGCCAGTAAAAACAGATTATCTCGAAATGAAATTCCGTTCTCAAGACTTTAATATTTTGTGTTTCGGAACAAAAGAACTGAAGCTCGGCTGATTAAAGAGAAATTAATAATGCAATACATTCGTCAATAAAAAGTTGCGAAATATATAATATAATATACAGGATGTCTCAGCCAGCCATTTAAAAACGAGGGAAATGATTTTTATCAAAAATCCCCAAAAATTTTGATAAGTAAATTAGATACGCTCTATCGAATGATGATATTTTTAACTTTCATTTTCGAACAGAAATAGACTACATATTTAGGGCAGAAGTCGATTTTTTTAAATAGAACATAGTATTTTTTTTGCAGATTTGGATTCGGAAATAGTCCCTTTTTGTTTGATAAAAACCACTTTCCTCATTTTTATATAATACTATATTAAATAGGTGGAGTAGTCTGGTAGTTAGTCCAAGACACCCTGTATACAAAAATATATTAAAATTAATTATACACAAAACAAAAAATTTTAACAATTAGTATTTTCTATGAAAAATTAGAAATTTCATGATACAAATATATTTAATTAATATACACAAAAATGACAGTGTAAATCACAACTTTATTATAACAAAAGCTACTTGCATCAACAATGACAATTGCAACATCTTAATTTAATTAACTGTCAGTTTGCTTAAGAAATAAGTTGTATTCACTGTTATAAATTTTTATTAGTAAATTATTTAACAAGATGTTATTTCCCTTTTTAAAGGAGAAATATTTTAATTAATTTAATCTTTTTAATCTATGCTTTTCTACTTGAACAAACATTACTCATACTTTGACTAATGACAATTAACAATTTGTGATGAGTAATGTTTGCTGCATCTCACAAAGACAATGCTTACAAAGAAAAAGATAAAAAAAAAGTAAATCAATTGATATTTTCTAGTGAAGAGTTTTTACAAAATAAATAAATAAATCCCAAATGTTCTTAATACACTTATAATATTAGTAATATTTGTAAAAATTACTAAAGCATCAGTTTTGTGAAGCACAGTAAAAATAAGGAATAAAATTTGATTCTCTCACAAACAAATAAATCTGCAGATATCGCGAGGAAGCTTATCATGATAAGAAGTTGATTGAAATATAATGGTTAAATGATACATTACAAGTGTGCTCGAGATATAACACTCGAGATACAAGAATTAAAAAGGAATTAAAAAAATATCGCTCTCAAGATAATATAAATCCTCAATCTCTCTCTCTCTCTCTCTTTCTCTCTCTTCGAGATACAACTGTTGCAGTCAGTAAAAATCAGTGCCAGTAAACATACACATAACAGAAGTATAAAACGGATGTTTTGTGTTAAGAACGAAGTGTTACGCAACATAGAATACACTTTTTTGCTGTTATGTTCTCTCATTTGAAAAATGAATCACCTTCACATCTGCCATTCGTTTCACCTCTACTCCTGCAAGTCTCTATTTTCTGTAAAGGCAAAGACGAATCTATTCGCTCTGGGGATGCTCTAAATTTCACCGATACTGACAATCGTTTCGTTCTGAGAACCGAAACGACTGACATTATCTCGCACACCCTCGCCCCCCGGCCGCTGTCCCGCATACAAAACAACACAAAACAACTGTTACACTACTGATATATATGTATCTCATGCACAGTAGGCGCGTGAATGCGAGCCGCGCGTCATGCATGCGTGCTCCTTGATGACGGGCGAAGCGCGGCCCGGACCGACGGTGTCTCGTGATCGTCGGGCAGACGACGGAGAGAAAAAGAGAGAGAGAGAGAGAGCGAGAAAAAGAGAGAACAGGCGGTGACGAGACACGCAGGTGTCCAGGGCGACGTGCGTCGTCGCGAGATCGGGATGGACCGGAGCCCTCCTTCTACGCACCTTTGGTGATTGCTCGACGGGCCGGCTGTCGTCGTCGCGCATTCGGCTACGCGCATAATTGCGTGTCTCGCGGCGACGTGCTGCTCTCACACACTCGGCGGGCTGGTCAGCTAAGCGGCGCTTTATTTACATTCTCGCGGACGATGCGGCTCGATGCGCTGAGCGACACGTCGGACGACACCATGATCTTCCGATCCCGCACGATTCTGCGTGGTCGGCGGCCGCGGCGACGTCCGACGGCGGTAGAGAGAAGTCTGAGAGCGGACACGCCCGCTTTTCAGGTGGTCGCGGCCACTCAGCGCCTCTATGTACAAATCGAACGTGCACGTTGAACTAAGTCCGGTTATTTCCAGTGGGTAACCACGGCGTATATTATTTGTTTCCATCGTTATCACAGAATATAATTGCGTTAATGATACATTATAAATGTCCACAAGTCTGCGAGATATCTGCAGGGAAATCCAGTGAATTTTTATTTTCTCCTCAAATCGTTGCTTTATTTATTTCTAAAACAGATAAGAGTCTACGGTCGAATTAATTTTTTTTTGCGACGATTTATGAAATTTACATACGAGATCATCAGCACTTTTAATTATTTTATCGATAAAGTAGCAATTTAATCGGAGAAATTGAAAGTGATCCTCGTAATTATTAGTGACCGCCGCTAGATGGACGCACCAGTTGTCCCGGTGCTGTTGCAGCTTAGGAAATTTATGTTTTAGCGCATTTTTTAAAATATTATATATTGATTATTGAATAAAGAGAAAAGAGACTCGAAGAAAGAGGAGGAAGGAAGAATGCAAGACAATAGACGTTAGGCACGTGATTTATTATATTAAATATATATATATATACTTATTAATATTTAATAAAACGTATCAATCTCAATTTCATTTTCATCCGTTATTTTATCCGACTACTCACATAATGATAACTAATTTAACTCCGTTACTCTAATTATAGCATTTAATTACTGCAGGTAATCAATTTCGCTTAATTAACGGGAGAAGCCGGATGTTGCGTGAAGCTTTAACGATTTCGATTATATATCTGCTCTTCCGGATTATATAGATATATATGCGTGGATCCAAAAACTCACCCCCATCGACAGCATGTTGATGCAGCATTACGAAGTCAGATCGATTCGAAACTTAACTTGCGACCTGTCGCAGTTTATCACACGCGAGAAGTTCGTATTCCCCGCGATTTAAACCGCGTATGCGTACATACGTACGCGGCTTCGGTGCGGTTCCGCGCGCGATTGCAAATTATCTTTCGGAATAGACTTCATCTGACTTTCAGATCGAATCGCGGTATTAAAAAATTCCGCGCGTGATGGGATACGCGATGGGATACGATAATGGTCGCCGTCTACGTCGATATTACACGAAAAATCCTTCTCTATCGCTCCTTTCCTCGAATTCAGAATGAAATTCGCCCCGAAAGATAGCTCGCGCGCCGCCTGATATAAGAGGTCAAATGGTCACCGCGATTTGATTAGCATTTCGCGAACACTTCGGCAAATAGACTCCGAATAAAATCATATAATCCGAAATTTGAATGTAAAATGAGAAACGCGAGAATTCGATTTAATAAATCCATAATCTTCGTATCAAGATATCAATAACGATTAACGAAGGTCCGTTATCGTTTATATAGCGAAGGTCGAACGCGCGTCAAAACACTCGCGTCGTCGATCGTATCGCGCGCGCGGCATCGGCGTGAAGTTGCCGCGCGTCACATTCGGCGATCGCTTCACAAGTCAGTTATTCACGGCATGGCCACGGGACGGATCGGCAGCGGCGACGAGCGAACGCGGAGTTGTGACGGTGAGTATATATGATCGCAGCAGCGTCGCGTTTTTGGCGCCTGCCGCAGTCGCGTGCCGTTTGAATTCGTTTGTGTATCAGCAGTCCATTAGTAAAATTCACGAGATTCGAGATACCTATGTCGCGCGAGCGTCGCGGTAAAACGCGACTGTCGCGCCGTTCCGTGACATCTGCGTCCCGCGTCCCGCGGACGTGCATTTTCCATTCCGACTCGCGCGCGTCGCCCACGCTCCTTTCGCGTGTCGTAAAGCGGGATATAGGATATCTGAATAATACCGAACGCAATCCGAGTACAACCCCCTAGTTTTTCAAATCCCTCGGAAGTACAAGTTGGAGCAACAGGTGTAATCGTCGCCGCGACGAGCGAAGTTGCTCGCGCGATATTCGATTCTCTCATTTCTCTGATCGTCGCTCGCGAAGACTCTTGACTGTGCTGCGAGAAGTCGCGGACGCGAAAAGTTTCGCAGAGTGTACATTTCTCGCGTCGAATCCACTGTTTTCGGTGTAATTAAACGTGCGTCGCGTATCGGACGTGTCGTATGTACAAAGGACCGCGCGTAATAAGTATACTATGTTTTTTTCCCTGCAGTGTCGCGTGAATGCCACGAAACAGCAATCAACAGCAGCCAGGGAAAGGAACGTGAGGAGGTGGAGTCCATGAAGATATCGAGCAACGGTAGAGCGATCATGGACTGAATAATGTATTATTTATTTCCTATTTCTTATCTACGGATCGTTTTTAACCCGCAACAGTCGTATGATGCATTCCGTTTTACAATGTACAGTCGTGGACAGATTGATTGCAACACTTTTTTTTTTATAGATTTCAAAACGCACTAATATTTTGCAAATGTGAATCACGATTAGTGTTATATTGTCTCTAGATTAAAGATAGTACATCATGGTTCGCATTTGCAAAATATTAATTACTTATAAAATATATATTACGTACATTAAATATATATTAGAAACCTATATAAAAAAAAGTGTTGCAATCGATCTGTCCACGTATGACTGTACATACTATGTAATCCGTATACAAAACATTTGAGATTATTTTGGGACTCAAGATATTTAACAAGATATTTAGAATTTAGAAATATATAAATAATATCTAATGTTTATGTAAGATGTATATAAAATATTTTACAACATTTAAAAATTATATTTATTTAGATTTGTGTGTGTGTGTGTGTGTGTGTGTGTGAGAGAGAAAGAGAATTAAAAGTTTTTATTTGTATAAAATTTTATACAAACAAATTTTAGTATTTTACAAAAAAATCTTTTATACATTTTAGTATTTTTAAAAAATCTTGTTTCGGGAATTGTGTAAGTTGATTAAATCTTTAAAAAAACCAATAAAAAAGAATGCACATAATAATTATTTTTTGAAGTATTAATTATCCGGGCACTGGTTTAATATCTGGATACATTTATATTTTACAGATCAACGTTACATACTACGGTGTACTACTACTCTGCCACTGCACATTGTACTGGTGAGCATTTAATTATCTTTATCATTTTTTTTTGTTAACCGAGAGAATTTTGTGAATCTCTGAAATAGTATTATTCGCGTACATATTAATTATTTGTACGTGCGCGATCGTTATCGTTCTTTTCTTATTTTTGCCTGCAACAACAAAACCTATTAAAATAATACCGCAATAATTACCGTTCTAAGTTCTTTTTTCATATTATTTTATTATCCGTATTATTTTTTATTTGTTTTAACAATTTATGGTCGACGTAAATATTAACATAACATTTATTTTATTAACTTTATTTTTTTTTTAATTCAGTTCACAAAACGCAAAAAGACGTTTAAAAAATCAGGTCTTTTATATTTAATATATATTATTATTAATATAAATAATTTGTCTACGTTACACGTAACTCTTTTTTAATCATACGGCCGCTGCATTGCATCGAAATGATCTCTTTTTCGTTTTCCATTTATTTTAACTGTGCGGATGTCATGAATCGATAGTATCAATTTAACTAAGGGATATGATATTGTCACATTATATGTGCGATCGCGTAAGTAATAGAGACTTGAAATATGATACATTGATGAGAAGATGATCTAAACCATATAAAGGTCTTACGTAGACCTTATTACAAAGGATAATTTCTGAGGTATCTACAATAACGTGATAAAAGTTTGTAATTCTATCTGTTTTAAGCGATCAATAATTTTTTTGTTACTGCAATTAATTGTTCGAAAAAGAGACGAAAAAATTCTATGTATAATCTTTCCTTCGACAATCAGACTTTTATTTCGAGAAACGTTATAGCACATCTTGTTTGACTTGTCTTATCATTAACTTCGCCGGATTATTTGTTCATTTTTTCTTGCAGTCCTTATTGCAGCTCGAGTGTAAAAATTGATCGATTTAACCGTACGATTTAAAAGTAAAAAAAAAAAGAGATTTTATTATTTAAATACTAGAGAAATAACCCGCTAGGCGGGACAAGAGTGTCTCAATTTACAACGAATATCGAGTTGCAAGCGCAGCTGCCGCGTTTTATACTTTTTTTCTCGCCGCGATACTTACGCGGTAACCACATGTAACAAGCGGACTCGACGACCAAGCGAGTCGGTATGCTCTGGCGGCCGAGCTCTGGAATTTAAAGGTAGTCCCTCGTTTGAGCGAGGATAATTAAATGTCTATCGGAAATTCGTCGGTACGGCCAACGGTCTGACCGTCGAGAGGTGATTGAACTACTCGGTTTGTTCCTTCTCTCTCTCTCTCTCTCTCTCTCTTACTCTCTTCCTCTCTTTTTTCTCTCTTTCTCCCTTCCTTTCTCTCTCTCTCTCTCTCTCTCTCTCTTGTACGCCATCCAGAGTCACAGGTGTCTGGAAACGGCAGCTCCATTCTATCATCGCATGGCCAAAGTGCTTCTCCGAGTGTTCCGAGGCTCATCGTCGTGTACTTAATTAATCACGCGGCGTCACTGATACCCGCCGCTAAGTCCCGCCCGTGGCCTCGCCCGTGCTTTTTCTAAACGCGCGAAATGCAAATCTGTTCCTGACTTGCATTTGTCATCAGGCGTCGCGCACTCGGCCGCACCTTTTGATCGACTTCTGAACTTCTTCGGCCAGGGATGATGGTTTTTATAATTGAACTCCGCGGTATATTTATAATTTAACATCCATTCGTATCTTCGGCACAAGTATAAATTAAGATAATTGTATATTAAATGAGTATATAAATAGCTGATAGTCAACCGATATGCAATGGCACATTTTTATTAATTGTAAGTATACAAATTTTTAAAATTAATTTTCAAAAATTTGTACAACGTTAATTTGTCTTCAAAAATTCAATAAGAAGTGTTTATTCTCGAATTTCTTGACAACGACGCGAAAAATAACACGTTTCTTTTATTGTTAATTTAATTATTATTAATATTAATATTGGGTCATCAAAACTAGAAATTGTTTCGTGATTTTAAATTCTAATGAAACAAACGTATTAGATTTTCCTTGACAATTCTACAATAGAGTTAACTCCGAGATGGTAATTTCACCAGGAACATTGAAATCGCAAAGCGCACTTCATCCCCGCAGGATTGAATTATTTATTGTTGTATAATAGCATTAATTTGTTCGCCGGCAGATCATTTATTCCTAGACATTTAAGTAGTCAGAATTTCTCCATGTCGATAAGGTGGCGAATTGTGGCGAATAGTCGACAGGGAAAAATCGTGACAGCCCGGGATGGTAAGTTCCTTCCGATCCCCCTCAAGGGATCTAAAACCAGCGGCCTCAAAGAAAGAAAGATTTGCGAAAAGTTCTATATATTGCCTCTAGTACTAGTAAGCGACGTACCGTAAGTAGGGGTTGACACAGTCGGGGTGCGCATTCTTGTTCAGATTTTTCTTATTCGTATACAGAATATGCTGACTGACGCGGATTTTCCCTTCTAGATACAAATTCTCTGAATTTTAGACGTTAACAATTCTGACTTTTGATACAATTCCGTTTTTTTTTGTTTTAAGAAAAACACTCTGCAAATATGACAAATAAAACTAAAGTCCAGTAGAGATTAAATTTTAATTAATGGCATTTAGTTAAGCGCGTGTGACATAATTATTAGCGAGAGATCACTACGTTTCTTAACAATTGCTTACTATATTGCAATTGCCAGATTAGACAATAATATAGTCTTGGATTTGATTCTGCACTGAATATTTATTATTGCTAAAAAATAGCATTACAAATACCTATACATTTACAATTCTATTTCATTCATTGCGTTGTTTACTGCAATTTAAAATAGACGTAATCGTTATGACTTCGCACGATTAATTAAGGATTACATGAATAATAATTATATTTATAAAATTATAATTGCAATTAAATAAAAAACTAAAAAATGCAAACACTTATGACATATATCATAAGAATTCGATTGCGAGAGAAAGCTTTTCTTGTCTAGAAAGATTATTTAATCAAGTCATTTATTTTATAATTGAATCGAAAAGAAAATATCGTGTGGAGTTTCATTCGTAACATAATTATTACAATTATTCATTTAGACTGACATATCGATTATGGAATTTTCATTGAATTTTGCCTACTTTTCCAATATCACCGCAATGGATGGAAGGTTCACTTTGGAGCTTTTCCAATTTCTTCGAAAAACAATTTCCAAAGTTACTATCTTGAAATGCTTGATGGATGTATGGGATGTCCTAGACACTATCACTATCAGCGCAGTATAGATGTTAGAAATTAAATTAAGAAAAATAATATTTCTCTCAATATTTGATCAGTAATTATAGAATTCTAAGCAATCGAGATTTGTAAAAGTTTTACTAAATAATACTTTTAAAAAACAAATACGTAAAATAACTTAATTTTAATGAATTTTAACAGATTCTTTATTTAAATATTACATGTAATTGTAATTTACTGATAAAAATTATTACTAATTATTGCTAAGATTAATTAAAAATTTATATACTGTAATAGTAAAGAAATATTTCGCTTAATCTAGTTTTCACACATATTTTGAATCTATAAATATAAAATAAAATGGAAATTAAAAGTAAATATTTTTCTAATATTTGAATTTTATTTGTTTGATTCTTTTATGTTTACGATTTTTGTAGAAAACATCGCTATTTGTTACTATTCAAAGTTTATATAGAGAGAATACATTAAATGAATGGAATAAAATCAATGTTTCCATAGCATTCATTAGAAAAAATTGGAAGAAAACTAAATTTCTCAGGGAATTAGCGAGTGAAGGGGATTCTATATGTAAAAGATGAAATTATCATGAATAAACATGAGATAAATGAGCGGGATGACGGATAGTGATAGTTATAGAGAAATTATGTGAACGTAATGTTATTTTTTATTATATTAAATAAAATTGGTATAACATATTAGGGAAAGTATAACATAAGAGGGAGATAGTTTATTAATTAACAATAATTATCAAGAGAATTTTCTGTACTTGAATTTAAAATGAATATATTACTTTTAATTTTTACGTCTTTGTTTTTCTAAAGAATTTAAAATAAGGAAATCGATTGCATGCTAGTAATATATAATGCAAAGTGACAAGAATGAATTGTAATACAATTGTTGAAAAGACAGTTTGTATTGTACCAAGAAATAAGAGACGACAACACAAACGTCGTATTGGCATAAATCTAAAAAAGCAGAAGAATCTCGAGCTACAAATGATTGATTATAAATTCCTCCATTCCATTTTTCCTCTCATGTTATATATTTAGTCTCTAATTATGAAAGTTCTTTGTTTCTTACAAATTATAAGCAAATGATCGTTATACGTCTCACTTTATTGTTCGTATGAGACAACAAAAGGAACTGTAAAGGTTTCGTTTACACAATATCCTCGTCCGCGCCGGACGGGCGTAGAATTAAATGTCGTGCCTTTATTTATCGGGATACCTAGATTGGATGAATTTCGCCACTGTGCGAATAGTGGTTGCGCCCAGGTTTCGCCGTGGCGTTTAGCAGCGCGGATGCGATCATTCGGGCTGGCACGGCTGGCGTCGTCGCAGCTCGGTCCGGCGGCGCGCACCGAAAGCGAGAGAGAAACGGCGGGCCCGACGGTACGCTCGCGCCACTGCGCCCGCGTCCGCCCGTACGCGCGCCAGTATCCCTGTCGGTCCCGTGTCACGCCAAGCTCACTTCACCCTCACATCGTTCCTCGTGGTGGTAATCGTATCGTGCGTGCCGACCGAGGATCTACGTGTGACAGCCGATCAACAAGGCAGATAGAATTTTCACGGCGGTGACGAGTGTTATCGCAGCGAAAAACCGACAGACGGGGACCTGGTGATTCTCCCCTCCTCCCCGGATGAACGGTGCGATCGCGCGATCGAAGCGGATAACGACGAGTCCTCGAATGTGATCGAATCTTGGTGTCGCGAAAATATACGTTCGGCGGACTTTGTCTAGAAAATTGGCAGGGATCGAAGGATCGAAGGGATTTGCCGGAATTTGAGAAATATATGTACGCTCGAAAAGACGCGTGAATGGAAAACGTAAAGAAGAAGAAGGGCATTCCTTGTGCTCCGTTTCGAAACCGATTACTTAAAATCTTGGAATAGAGGAAAGTGTTACGGCGAAGTATTTTATCCTTCGATTAATGAGCTACCGAGCATGCGAATTTGTCTTGTCACAAGATCGTGATTACCGCGTCACTTATGTGTGCTCCGACGCGCGTGTAAATATTCACGTTCATTAGGTAGTGAAGACCCGGCTGCTTTGAAGCTTTCGACTCGCATGCAGTGTTCCGTTTACGAATAACGAATTTTCGGTGAACGCCAGTTGAGCTTTCCCCTCGCTTTGAGAGAAAGCGCTGATTATACGGAGAGAGGCGCACGGAGGGCAAAGTCGGTGATTTATGGCGGAAAAGAAGGTCTGCGACGGGCTTCTCGAAGATGCGAGAAAAACGAGGGCTTAGACGTGCGCCCGTGTATAGTCATGTAGTAACTATATACGTCGAACCTGAGGCACGTTAATCGAATTGAACTTTGTTGACGAGTATCAATTTAGTTTTCTCGTCACCGGCGCGGTGTAACGAGGTATGGAGTTTTATTCACTTCTAATGGTCATTTTCTACAAGAAGCAAAGAACTTTCATGATACGAGGTTAAATTACACCGGCAGTTTTATCTAACTTCGGATCGGTGATTCTTGCCGTTTCCTTCCGCATTGTATTTCTACTCGTGATACAAACGGGAGAAAAAGAAGGATTTCGATCAGAGTTATCACGCTATGCACAGTGCAATTGAGAACGACCAGAAGTTCGCATTCTCGAGAAATTGAATCGAGACCGAGACATATGTTACCGATGAACGATTTTGAAAAATCTGCAGCATCGCGACATACACTTGGCGCCGGAACAGTTGGACGTCGGATCGATCGCACGTTGGATCACGCAGTCGATGGTACTCGCGGCCGACGAGCGGGGGTGAACAACCGTTCGGCGGATCGTCCGTACGCATCACGTTTGGCCACCATGCCGAACGGTGCATTCGTGCAACGAGCGTTACTCGCGATTGCGAGCTGCCGCGAATCGGGTTGCCGAGGATTCCCGCCACGCGAAACAACTCGCGTTAACGCGCCAGACGCGTCCGCTTCTTTGACTCTCCTCCTTTTATTCGACACGCGCTGTTCGCTGTATCCCAGGTAGACGATATATTGAGCGCGCATTTTTGTTCGATCCTGTTACGCGATCGGATGCGCCCGGGGCGCGTTACCGTATCCGGCGAAAACAAACGGTGAGACGAAGGCGACGATGGATGGCGAGTTGCGCGGAGAAACGCGAGAGGAGTGACGGGATGAAAGGGTAAGGGAGACGACGCGTTTTTCGCGACGGTGAAATACTGAACGCAAATTGAAGAGGGTAATACAGTGAGATAAGGGTACTCTGATCTCGGTGAGTGCGCCGCCGTGTTGCTCGTGCTCGGTAATTTTCACGGCGAATCCCGGCTCGTCCTGGCAAAGAACTGTTGAAGAGGGGCATGAGGAAGAAGCGTAGCACGGATAGCACGTAGCGACTGGCCCCTTCTCGTTTCGGAGATGCGGCGCTATCCATTGCATATCAACGTCGCCCTCACCGTCGTGCTATTGGCGAGTTGTGCAACCGTTGTGCAGGCCGGCAAACGAGGTAATGATTACATCGAATATGCTCCTGTCGTAAGGCCTATCGTGGTCTTTGCGATTGCAACGATAATAACGTGAAAGCGTGTAGGAGCTAAAGAGCACGTAGTGCACATAATGGTGCGAATTCGGAAATGAGAGACGCACGCTAAAGGAGGAGAGAAACCAAAGTATATTACGTGACTCTTTCTTTCTATAAAAAACACAATTGCTTTTCGTTCATTTATTCTTTTGAAAAAATGTAATTTAGCAATTATAAAAAAAAAAACAATTTTCTTTAGATACTAAATAATTATTATGTAATTTAAAATTTTTATAAGATTTATGTTTTATATATTTAGCATTTTTATTTTAATTTTCCGATACATTTTGAGGGAACAGCAAACATGTACTTTGCATAATTTTATGATTATTCACATGTTATTAAAAATAATAATTAAATTCTTTTATAAAAATATTATAAAATAAATGTTATATTGAATCAAAACACATACTTCTAGACACGATAGAACGATTGTACAGTCGATCAAAGAGATTTTCGTACCGTAATGTAAAGTAAGGTTTTAAATAAATCTTCGAATGTGAATTGTGATCCGTTCGGATGTGACACACCTCGTGAATTTCATTATTATTATTCCAAAGGAGTAGCTTTGTATTGAATATCGATCAGGAAAACAATTTCGCCAGTGGATGGTATCTTATAGCCAGAAAACGGCTTTTCACGGTCTGCAGGTGAATATAGCTCCGCGATTCTTGGCAGACACAATGGACGTGCGTATTGTATCGTCGATTCGTTATCCTTACATTTCCGATTGAGATGATTTTCGGTATGCTTGCTAGAGCAGAATTTTTCCCCTGCCACGGCACCGCCTCTGTAACGACTCAGTTTCTGCGTGAAGCAGAGGATAGCTAAACTGTCACAAATATCGTATTTTGTGAGCTTTGCTATTCCTGAAATTTGATCGAGAGATTTTTAACTTTGCAAAGCGCTAAATAATTCTCAAATAGAAACAGATATAGATAATCACAGAATTCTTTTTATGTATAAATATACATATATTATTAGTAGCTGATCAATAAAACATTACATTTCCACATGCATTTACACACACACATACAGTATAATATTAGTACCGAAGGGTAAACTACTACTAAAAACTGTACAGTGATTGCTAATTATGGCAATACATCACACTTTATTGCTAGCATTGCTATTGTATTGTGCTTTCGTATTGTCAGTAACATTACCATCTATTATCTCATGTATTGCCATCTATCGCACATAATATTGCCAAGTATTGTTAACGTATTGCTTTGTATTGATAGTATATTGCTAGCATATTGTATTACCGCAATACTAGCAATTGTATTTCTGAAGAAATGTACACTGCCATAGTGGTTGACCCTTCGAGTAGTACACACAGTACACAGTTACAGTAAGTAGTTAATCAACCATTGTTACTCTTAGACCAATATAATAATAAATTCCTTTCTAAGGGAATGTAATTCGCAAAAACGATAATATATTGACGATATATTAAATTGTTAATTACAAGAGTTCTAATAAAGTTTTTGTGGTATAATTAAAAATATTATACAATTAGATACATTCTGATATTAATACGAAACCAAATAGTAAATGGCATAAAAAATCAAAACAATATTAATACTGTTGAATTGCTGTTATTTTAGATTATCTCTCTTTGCATAATTAGCATAATAACGTGTCATCTATTTGCATCAATCTATAATAATTAGCCTTTTAAATTACTGCATAATTAGAAAAGAAATAGTTATTTATAACAAATTATATAAACAACTTAATATATATTTTATTATATATTTTATTCAAAAATATTTACATTATTAATGTCAATAGAATAATGAATACATTTGTTGGTGTGATTAAAATCAAAAACTTAAAATATATATTTCAATTTTAATCAATTATGAGTAATGACCTTCTCGGATATAATAATAATTGAAAACATATATTTAATAAAAGCATAATTAATGGATTTATATACTTTGCAAGAAATAACTTGTGCATTATGCGTATTGTGTATCAATTAATTTAAATTACGATATAACCATTCAAGCGATATTCAGATTTATATACGGATAAAATGTTGTTTTCTATGCTACTAATATATAATTTAAGAAGTAGCTTGTAAGAATATACTCTATTTTCAATATCAAGTGCCACTTTGCTCGCTTGCAGTGATAACGTCCCACTGGGCTTGTAGAACTCGCTGTCAATTAATTGTTCTAACTGCAGGTTTAATGAACGTCACTTCGTCATCCCCATATCCTAGGCCGTGTTCAGACGATCTAGTTTAGCGTATAATTTATGCATTCTGTACTACATAATGCGCGTTTGCAACTTGATCAAGCTTACGTGCTGCTGCCGTTTAATAGTACGTCTAAAGTATGCGTAACGTGTTGCTCAATACGGCTTTAGTCGAACAATTTATGTTTCCCCGTTGCGTTAATCATTTTGTTCATAAAATATAAAATATCGACAGTGCGCGAAAGTTCAATGAGTAGCTCGACATCCACTTCGCAACGCGGATATGTTTTTAACAATCTGATATAATTTTTATTATGACAAGCGCTATATTGGAATTGTTATGGGAAAATGTAAAAAGTTTGTCGGATTAGGATTAGGATTAGGCGAAAAGTTTGCTTGTTTGTTGCAACAGAATTGTTCGTGAAGCTTAAAGTGAAACACGAGGCTTACTAATAGCCAAAACGTTAAAAATTTTTTGGACGTTTATTCCACACATATGTATATAGGGAATTCTTATACACAAGAAGATGTTTAGACTTGGTAAATATTCTTAAGTCCAGCAGCTTGTGCGACGCGGTATATAAGTTTGATATCTAATAACAGTTTTCTTCGGGAGCTCCCGAGTTCTTGGTGGAGCCAAAAGTTTTCACGTATCGGGGATACTTAATAAGTTGGACGATAATGCCCACGTAACCTGATTTGCAATTTAATACGCGGCCAAAATACGAAAAACTGCAATATACCGATAAATCGGAAATTTATTGTTTAAAATATCAAACGACAAACTTTGAAATAATTATTTTTACGATAATCGTTGGAATTTTAATTAATGGTTTTTTAAATAAATCGGCAGTTTATTGAATAAACTTAACTAAAATATTGGCTAGTGATTTTAATCAAATGTATTGTACATGCAATAAAATTATAAAATAAGCTATATAAGACAGATTAAAAGGAGATTATTTGTTTTCAATGTTGAAAACAAATTGAATAATTTTTAATTTACAAATTGATGACGTAAGATTTTTTTGTATTTAATTGTTTAACTTTTTTAAGATAATATGAGATATTTTTTATTAGTATTTTATGAGTTTTTATATTATTATATTATATATAATACAAAATCACCAAATACACAATTTTAATATTACATAGTAAAAATTATATTTTATATTATTTTATTATGTATTACATGTATTATCTCTCTCTTTCTGCCTATCTCTCTTTCTCTGCAGAAATCTCCAGAATGCGTTTGTCTCGTACGTATTTATAGTTGATAGAATGTCTATTCAGTCGAATGTCTATCAAGTTGCTTATTTATTCCACAGCAATGGCAGGTATAGATAGTCATAGTTCTAGTTGACGACATATGAGATTAGAACCAGTTTATTGTAGAAGCGTATATTCGACTCAATAATGAACGATTTAGATTAACGCCACACTAACGCGCGAACAATAATATTGTCTGAACCGAGTATATTGTGTGGGCTTCTATTTCTCCATTCAAAGCCGCAGTGAATAAAAGCAAACATTTCTACTTAGACTGACAAGTGCTACGGCAAACGTTTACCACGCAATAGTTAACTGCGAAAGAAACAGTATGACACATTCTATGTAACTGTAAATAACAATATTTGATTGAGCTCTAAAAATCGTAACAAATAAAAAAATGACATTTTTATTGACTTGAATTCAGAGGCAAAGCTTTTTATAATAAATATACATATAAAGATTTTGATTAATGTTTATAATAAGAAACTTTAAAAATACATTACAATTTATTATTATAAAATTTTTCTATTTAAATATGATGTATAATATATTACTTTTTATTTTGTATTTTTTACGCAACATTTTATATTCTGCTGTAAAGTTACAAAACTGAAGATAAGATATTTTTTTTTTTATAAGAGTTAGAAGTGTCAAATTTATATTTATATTCTCTATTAATTTTATTATGATCGAATTTTATGTAAATAATTAAAATGTGCCATCAAATAAAACAAACGTTAACGAAACGAATAATAACGTTTCTGTATAACGGTGATAACATTTGTCTTTAAATTATCACAATTATCGCTATATTTTTTCGCACTAAAACGGATTTCTTATCATACGCGTCTCACATATATCGTCAGGTGTGCTCCGCGTTAGTTTATCATTAAATAAAATATAATTAAGTTTTTAGAAATAACGCAGAATTTCATGCGATATATATTCAGGCGACTCTTTATCTCTCATACCGAGCACACACACACGCGTGTGTCACATAGTGAGTTAATTTGGTTACTTTTTATTACGAGTGACACATACAAGAGTGCTTGTTAAATAATGCTCTTTATTAAAACGACGCTATATGAACGTGTTGCGTTCCCAAGATTTCAAGAGGCGTATTACGCTAACGTTTGCGTCGTCGTGGATGTTTTAAGTATTTATATATTATATTGTATAAATATTACGGATTCTGTAAATATCAGTTAGCTTTTCTGAAACAATCATATATATAATCAATTCATAATATTACGAGTTTTGATGTTTGAAGTGATTTGTGTATTTTTGCATGTTAATATTCAAGCGTATTGAACTTTGAATTAACAACAAATTAAATTTAGTACTTATTTTTTAGTATTTATTTTACTTATTTTTTTTTTATTTAATTTGTTCCATTTATTTTTTTATTTATATTTGTATATATTTTGAATAAATTCATGATTGAA